GCTACTCGCTACCCACCACTCACTACTCACTACTCTCTACTTCTGGCACACCACGCACTACTCACTACTCACTCCTCGCTGTTCGCTACTGTCTACTCCCTCATCCCTACTCCCTGCTTGCTTCTCTCTATGCACTACTCACTACACACTACTCGCTCCTCATTACTCACAATTTCTTGCTCACTACTTCCTCCCCCCCTACTCTTCCCCTACTCACTACCCACTACTCACTACTCATTACTTACTAATGTCTACGCGCTACTCACTACTACCACAAGCCATTACCCACTACTCTCCACTCACCACTCACGACGCACTGCGCACTATTCACTATCAAATACCCACTACTCACCAATCGCTACTCAAAACACTCTACTCCCTACTCACTACTCGAGAGGCCCCCTCCCCAGCCCCCTGTTCGGCGCAAAGGGGGGGAGGGGGGGGGGGTCGGACCCTGCCCCCCCTTTCCAGCGCCAAGGGTGGGGGGGGGGTCCGGAAGCTCACCCCCATTCAAGGGAGGGGAGGTGGGGTGGGTTCGGACCCCCCCTTAATGGGGGGGGGGGTCGAAAATCTCCCGCCCCCCTTTTGAAGGGGGGGAGGGGGGGGGGTTCTGCGAGCACACCCCCCCTTTAGTGTATTCAGGGCTATCCTCTGGCGCGCTTTCCTAATTGAGCACTCCTCCTCCTCCTCCTTCTCCTCCTCCTCCCCGACCGTCCCGGCATTCCTATAGTCCTACCACGAAATATTATTCGAAACCAAAAGCGTTTTAAGAACAAAGCAGCGTTCTTGGAACATCAACCCGACGTGATAAAACAGGGCAGGTTCCGCCAGACATGTTTTGAGAACATATCGTGGACACCACAAAAGGTTCTTAGAACATTGTTTGGTAGGGCTATAGGCGAGCCTGGACGCTTCGCCACTGCTTGAACCAACGCCTCCTCGCCCTCGGAGCCTCGTGCTCGCCGGGCTCCATCCGGCGCCCTCCCCCTTTCGACGCCCCCGATCTCAAACTGAAGGGGAGCGAGACAGGCTCAGGGGAGTTGGGGGGGGCGGAGACATCGGCCTGGCATTGCTCGGCGATGGATCGCCGACAGATCGGCGACAGGCCCCCGATAGCGAAACCGCACGCTCTTGGGAGGGGTGGGCCATCAGGCCCCCCGATGAATGGGCGATTGCAAGGCGATGTCCAGACACGCGATACCATATTTTGGTTTCTCCATACGTGATCCCCGGAAGTCCCGACCCTGTCCCCACGGCCAGCTTTTCATCCTGGGCCGTTCTTCTTGTGAAGGTCCCAGGGTCCTGCGAGGGCCCCATGAGGCCGAACGCGAGCATGTCTTGGTACGTTCCCCACCCCCAGGCTTCCCCCCTCCAAGATGCTCTGATGCTATACCTCCGCTGCTCATGCCGCCGATTGGGCAAGCCCCTCGGCTGGCGTGTCTCCTCCCTGCTATCCGCGCCCGGATGGCTGATGTCGCCAGACGCTTCGAATTCCCAGCGATTCTTGAGGGCCCGGTCGCGACCTCGCGTCAGTGCTTGCACTCGCTCCGCCTTGTCGCCGCGCGCGAGGCCGCTACGGGCGGACCTAGGACATAAAAACATCCTTCAGGAACATGAGACCCTCGGCTGGCCAAAACACCCCAGACCATCAAATTACTCAAGAGCACCCTCCCCCAGGATGCACAAGAGCATCCAACACGCACGCAGAGCATCGGGGGAACCCTCCCCGAACCGGCCTGGATTTTGTACCCCGGGCAGACCGTGCCGCCAAGAGCGCTCCTGAGGGACAACGATAGGGGGGGATAGGCATAGGGGGGAAAACATCGACATGAAATGGGCGATATATGGTCGAGGGTTTGGGCCCCCCCCCCAATGCTAATGCCATCGGGCCCCCCACCCCCGCGCGATGTCCCCCCCCTGTGGGCGTGGGCGTGGAGTGGTGGCTCCCCCCCCCGTGGATGTGGTGTGGGTGTGGTGTGTTGCTGTGGGTTTGTGCGGGGTGACGCCATGGTCCTCCTCCCCCCCTCCCTCCCCCCCTGTGGGTGCGGTGTGGGTGCGGCGTGTGGCTGGGATTAGCGTCATGTTGACAGCTCCGGTGCTCGACGTCGTCGCCGCCGCCGCTGGTGGTGCCGTCGACGTCGACGTCGTCGTCGTCGTCGTCGTCGTCGTCGTCGTCGTCGTCGTCGTCGTCGTCGTCGTCGTCGTCATTGCCGTCGTCGTCGTCGTCCTCCTCCCTCCACTCCCAATCCCCATCCCCTTCCCCTCCTCACTCCCTCCCTCTCCCCTCCCCCTCTCCTCCTCCTCCTCATCTCCTCCTCCTCCTCATCCTCTCCCCTCCTCTCCTCCTCCTCTCCTCCTCTCCTCCTCCTCCTCCTCCTCCTCCTCCTCCTCCTCCTCCTCCTCCCCCCCCATCCCATTGGGGGGGGGGCCCGAGGACCCTGGGACCCATCCCATCTGAGGGGGGGGGGCCCGAGGACCCAAAGCCCGCGATCATATCGCTGACAGATCGGCGACAGGCCCCCGATGGTGCATCCGCACCTCTCTGGGCAGCTTGGGGCCATAGGGCCCCCCCCCATCAGCGAGGTATGGGCGAGTGGGGGTCGCTGCATCCCCCTTATGCCTATCGTTGCCCCCGAGCTCACCCCCGTAGGTTGTGGATGCCTTGACAATGGGCACTCGAACCGTTCGATCATTGGAAAAACAATATTCAAAATGTTTGCATAATGTTGTAGAAATGTTTAAAACATGATGTTGCATGTTTAAGACATGTGTTTTAACCACTTTTTAAACATCTGGAAATGATTTAGCAACATGCTTCCTCTCCACTGATCGTCGTCCAAAACCCGTGCGCCCCTCCAACCCCTGCCGTTGCCCCACCCACCCCACGGGCGCGCAACCGAGCGCCTCCAGTGCCACGCGTCCAGGGCGCGCTGGGCCCCCGGGGTGAGCAGCTGGTCGCCCTCGTGGTCCTGAGGGGGGGCAGGGAACACAGACCACGGCCAAGATTACGTGTCTCAAGGGGCCCACAAACACACAAATAAATACGCACAAATAACAGGATTCTCCATATTTTTCTCATATTTTCTGGGTTTTTTGTCTTCCCCGCCGCTTCCCATATTTTCCCATATGTTCCTGGGAGTGGACGATGAATTGTGGCTGTGTGTCTTTTCCCCCCCTGAGTCCCACCAGCCCTCTGGGCGTAGGTGGTTCCGGGAGTTTCCTCTTCCAACCTCCTTCATCCCCTTCGGGGAGGGGTTTACCCCTCCCCCTAACCCCCTCCCCTGGACCTGGACGGGGGGTTTCGCTTGTAGTTGGAGCGTCCAAAACGGCTTCGGCGAGGAAGCCAAAATCATCGGTTTTACTAAGGTTTTGGCCGATTTTAGAGGCTCCCGAGGGGGGGTGCTAATTGAGGGACCCCCTTCCTTTGATCGATCACCTCCAAGATGGCCCCAAAAGCGCTCCCAAGGCTCCCAAGAGCGCCCCAAGAGGGCCTCAAGAGGCGCCCAGGAGGCCCCAAGAGGCGACCAGGAGGCCCCAAGAGGCCTCCAAGAGTCCCCAAAAATACCCCCAAGAGGCCCCAAGAGGCTCCCACGAGGCACCCAAGACGGTCCAAGAAGCTCCCGGGACCGCCAAGAGGCCCCCAAGACGCCCCAAGAGACCTCAAAGAGTATCCCAAGAGACATCCCAAGAGACTCCGCGAGGCATTCAAGAGGCCTTTGACTCTTCTGATCGCCCGTATCCTCCTCCTCCTCCCCCTCATCATCACCATCCCCATCCTCATCCTCATCATCATCATCATCATCATCATCATCATCATCAGCATTAGCATCAGCATCAGCATCATCATCATCATCATCATCATCATCAGCATCATCATCATCATCATCATCATCATCACCATCACCATCACCATCACCATCACCATCACCATCACCATCACCATCACCATCACCATCACCATCGTCAAGACCACCACCATCATCGTCATCATCAACATCATCAATATCAACATCAACATCATCATCCGCCTATTCCTCCTCCTCCTCATTCCTCCCTCCCCACCCTCATCATCCTCTTCCTCTTCCGCCTCCGACTCCTCCTCCATCCCCCCCCTTGGGGTACGACGGCCTCCCCAGCCCCTTGTTCCTCTGTATGCTGCCCCGCTTCCATGATCACCTCTACTCGCCTGGGCGTCGTTTCTGAATGGGTTGGTGGGGATACGCGAAGCGTCAAGAATTTCTCCCTTCATACGTACGGTAGGAAGGCACCAACTATACACCAATATACACCAATACCGATCCTGGCCAGGATCACCCTAGGCCCAGAATCGGTGTATACGCCCTCCTGCCATGGGCAGGATGCCTATACACCGGCCAGGATCGGCATGGCCAAGATTGGTGTAGGTGTGTAGTTGGGGCCCTCCGCTAAGGACCACATCCTAGAAAGAATTTCGAGCACCCAGAAGAGTGTCGGAACAGTGTCGAGCGAGAATCGCCTCCCAGGGCCCGACACGCGAAAGCACTCGAGTTTCGAAACTTTCTTGGTGCTCGAGATTGTTTCTGGCGGTCAAGGCTAAAGTGTTGAGTTGGAACATCATGAGGCCAAGCGTGAACGCGGAACCGTCGGCGCCGATCTTGGGAGACATTGGGTAGGGGGAAAGGCTTCTTAGGAGGAGGCTGCTTCTCACTTAGAAGGTGCCACCCCTACATCCATGGACAACGCCCGCACCTTTCAAGAAGCAGGGGTGCTCATGAGGGGGCCGCCCAACGTGTGTGGCCGCCCAACGTTGGAGGGACAAGCGGCGGCATAAACATAAACCTTCCGAGGCCCACACGGATTTCGAAGGCCTTACGGCTGGTGCCGCCGACCCTGAGGGGGGACGACGACAACAACGACGACGACGAAGACGACGAAGACGACAACCACCACCACCACGACGACGACGATGACAACGACGGCGATGACGACGACGACGACGACGACGACGACGACGACGACGA